TAAGCCAAAAGTACTAACTAGAAGAAGAAAAAAAATTCGTATTCTTTCATAAAATAACATCGTTTAACAAAATTTCATAATTAATGCAGAAGAAATTTATGTTATTAAGAAAGTAAAAGTTAGTACCTTTAATTTGATGTATATATTTTTTATGATCTGCTGTTCAGTTTTAAGTTAATATCCTACGATATTACACATTTTCCGCGTCTTGTTTCGCGTCTGGCTACACCGACATTATTGAATACGAAAAATCGGCTGTTTATGGTTATGACACCTATAATCGATGATAGTTGATGAGGTTACGGTTACGGCAATGGTACGGCTATGGCGTTATGGTATGTCACCACTGATTTAACCTTAAGGCACACTTAGTCATGGAGCGATACTCAGTTGAACCACTCGTAAAAGTAATTCAAACGGTTTATGAATATATTCGAGCATTGCGTGATATTTTCCGGTCAACATAACCGCCCTTCTGAGTCAACAATCAGCCAGGTGTAGAAATTTTACAACATCCGGTCAGTGCAGAACGTGACAACATCCGTGTAGGTCGTAAATGTGGCTCAGGCCACGACAACCTCAATTCGGCGTCGTGCAAAAGAATTGAACCTTTCCTACAGCACCGTTCTGTGGATTGCAATTGGATGCTTAAACAAAAAGTAGTTGAAGCCTATTAAAAAAAAAAAAAAAAAATTATCATGAGCAATAAGGCATTTCCACCTAGACAGATATGGTAACAAGCACAAAACTGCCAAATTTATGATACAGAAAATCCACATGACATTCAAGAAAAGAACTACGCACCCACATCGAGTCACTGTTTGGTGTAGATATTTTACGGTGTATAGTGAACATTATCGTGACACGAAAAAAAAAAACGTTGCATGACCTTAATTAGATGAGATGGACCTGGAAAATATGTGATTTCAAGAGAACGGCGCCACTTCCCCCACAGCTCATGAAACAATGGCTCTATTGAGAACGAAGTTCCTTGATCGCATTATCCCACAAAACAACGAGGTCAAATGGCCGCCGAGATCTTGGGATTTGACACCGTTGAACTTTGTGCTCTGGGGCTACGTGAAAAGGACGGTTTATGCCATGTTGCTTGGCACGTTTCTCTAACTTACTATCAATATTAAAGAATACATTTAGGAGGTATTTCCGTCCCCGTATGTATGTACATACATACATGTTTTAGTAATCGTATTAGTGTCAATTAAAACAATTTGAAATTTGATTAACTTTTTTCCTTTCAACCTCAAAATACCTTTAGACTGATATATAATTTTTCATACCTTATGCCGGATTTCCACTAGGCATTAAATGGCAAAAAAATGAAGAATTAAAAAAACCTGGCTTAAACAAAATTTTGTTGCGTTTTATTCACAAAAGAAAATTTGCAGCCTTATTGCAGCACCCTGTACATATTTACATATTTATGGAAATGCACCTTTGTTCAAGTATCAAGAGCAAATAAAATCATGAAGGATTTTAAACAACCTCATGCGAAAATACCAAACAACACTTACAAACATTCGAATAATTCCGCACATACTTTTGTCAAGAGAATTCCAAATGTATGTACAACTAAATACATGCAAAAGTCATGAAGCGACGGAGTGAAAGGGATCAGGTCGAGGATGAGCTGTCAGTACATATTGTCGGGGAAGTGAAAAGGTGAACTGAAAGTGTAAGCTTATGAGATACTCGTACGTATGACGACTAAAAAACGCAGATGCTCTGCCGACTGATGTAAAACAAAAGGATAATAACTGGTAGACAATAAAAGTGAGTAGTATTTGCATTTTTATTGTTATTACCTTATTTTTCCATAGAATACTGAATCAACTTATATCCATAAATAAGACTCGTAGATAATTAATTCAAACTAAACAACAGAAATGGTGAAAAAATAGACAGATGGAAGCGCATATTGCATAAATGCAAACATTTCTAAGACTGAAAATTTAATATGCAAAAAAGTACTCTTCAAAATTGCACAAACAGCTATGTATGTATATACTTTGCCAAGCAAAATAAAAGTTTTCTCAAATTGAAAATGAATTTTGTACGATTCTCTTGGCTGCGCCTGCCTGTGTATTTGCATGAGTGACTGGGCATACATACATATGTATGCACGTCTGAATGGATGAGTGACTATGGCGATGGAATGTTTGCATTTTTTTTTTTTGTTTCTGTGTGTTTTAGTTGATAAGAGCGCTTCTGCCTATGGGTAAGAGTTTAGCAGCTCTAATTCTAGCTGAGTGGATGATACCAGTAAAGGCCAAGCTTTGATAGAGTAACAACACTATTAGTTACAAAAATATTTCATTTGGAGATGATTTTTTTTTTCTATTTTAAAGAAGCGGCTTAATGTTGAAAATGTATGTAAATTTAAAAACTTTAAAGCATTTCGTTCCGGTTTTAAGCCAATGTATACGTGACTAATAAATGCAAATGGAGAACACTTTAGAGCCAACCCTTTGATAGCTTCTTTCTTTCGTCTCCGATAGAGGGATCAACTTCAAGGAAGTGGCTTCATAGTTGGACCCTGCGGAAGCATCCAATTGGGGTCATGCAATGCCCTTTAAATGGGATTCTTGATTTAGGAAGTAAAAAAGTAGTTTTTAATTCTGAAATCGAGTTGTTGTTGGAAAGGTTAAAACAAATTAAATCCAATATTTTAGTATGGGTTTTCAAACGAGTATGGGTTTTCAAACGAGAAGGGTTTAAGGAAATTTTATCTCGAAAATGGATACTTCTGAAGCTGCTTATAGATTCAAAAGAAATTTCATTAAGAAGTTAATCAAGGTATTTTAATGTGATAAAAATTGAGCGAGAATTAAAAAAGCTTTCTTTTTAATTCTTTTAAAGGGTTTTGAACTGCTAAAAAAGTGAAAATCAATTTAATTAACGTGTTTATTGAAACCTTTTAATATACATACATAATTAAAAACATGCATAGATGTCAATGAAGAGTTTAAGAAAACATTATTTTGTTTATTAAGTTTATGAAAAGATTTAAGAATTTCAGAATCTGTGTGATTAAGGGCCAATTTAAGATGTTAATTTAAATGACACTTAAGTTTAATTTTGTATCACTATTTAAATACCATTTAGCTTTCGTTGGGTATCAGGTCAATCTTATTTAAATATGCCAAAAAAGTGGCTACACTACTTTGCTGGTTCCTTGAAATTTTTCTTGCATTTGGTCGTTTTTTTAAATTTTTTGCTGAACAGCTGATTGCTGTTTGATACAAACACAGGGTTGCATATCTAATATTTAAATAGCACAGGTTTGCCATTTAAGTGCAGATTAATCAACAATCTCTACTTAAATAGCTCATCTGAAATATGTCCTAACAAGCTAAATCCGTGATGAAATTTAAAAAGTTTTATTTCCAAACTATGTTTGAAAAGCAATTTTGTTAATTTTAAATCAATTAATTTCATACGTTAAATCAAATATTTTTATATGGGTGAGAGTTTTATATAATCTTGATTTCTCAAAAATTTTTAAAGATGGCCCCCAGTACAGTTTTCTAAAGTTTTTTTGTGGAAAAAGAGCACAAGGCAACCCATGCTTGCCCGTTCCATTATTTCTTGAGGAAAGAGTGAGGCAACAGGCAGGTGGAGTATCAGATGTCAAAATTCCTAAATATAAAATTTCTTTCTGTGAAGTAAGTGTGAAATTCCACAACATTTCCTCAGCAAAGTACCATTTTGTTCACGCTGAGAAAAACCTTGCAACATGTTGGCAACATGAAGCTAGCAACACAATTTTCATAGCAATTTAAAATACACATGTACATTTTAAATTTTTGAAAACTGACATTTTATAGAATTCAGTAGCGGTGAACACAAAGGGAGTTTAGGGGTTAAACCTTACCCAAACCGATCGTAAGTGCATTTCACGTACAAGAAAATTGCGGATGATTACTTATTATCATATGACTGGTTTGAAGAATCAAAGAGAATGGCTCGTTTTTAATAGTTTGATAAATATTTTAGTAAGTGAACTAATGTTTGTACATAACGGTATACGCAAAAAATATGATCGCAAGAGAATAAAGAAGATTTAAACATTTTCAAAAACTAACAATTTCTTAATTATTTAAAAAAGAAAAATATAATTTTTAATTTCATTTAATTTTTCGAAACTTATTTCATTTCCATATTCTTTTTCCATAAAATTTATTTTGCTTTTGTTAATTTCATTTTCTTTTAGGTTTAAGATTTTGTTGTTTTCAAAAAGAAAAACATATTATTTTATTTCATTTAATTTTAGGATCTTATTTTACTTTTTTTGTCTTTATACCCGAGCACACTTGTGCACAAGGGTATTATTTTAATTTAATTTTCTTTTGATTAATAGATTTTGTTTTACAAATAAATTTTTTTTTTAATTTTTTTTTTTAATTTTAAGTGCTATTTTCTTTTTTACAAAATTTTTTTTTGCTAATTTAATTTTTAGATTTTGTTGATTTAAAAAGATTCTTTTATTTCATTTAATTTTTAAAAGTATTTTTTATTTATTTTTGCTTTATTTTCATTTCGTTTAATTTTTTTTTTAATTTGTAGTTTTTTTTGTTTAACTAAGAAAAATAAGATATTTTTTAATTTAATTTAATTTTTAAAAAACTTATTGCTAAACGAAATAGCGGTAAGACCTCCTCGTTAGCAGATCTTCCAATTAGTCTTACGAAAAAGAGTAAAGGGCTTTCAAGATAGTTGTCAGAACTGGAAATTGTCTTACGAAAGACTTTTGTCTTTTAAAAGACTGTGGCGAATTGAAAGAGAGCTGCCAGAATTGCGCTGTAAAATAACCATCTGAGTTAGGGCATCAAAATGATCAGCATAATTCTATAACTTTAATACATACATATATATTTACTTATACATATATATATATATATATACATATAGAAATATTAAAAATTTTAACACACATATCAATATAATATTTATAAAAATAAAAAACTAGTAGCCGTACTCACCCGCTATACAAGCATTTGCAATCAAAATTGTGGCGATCACAAGCATTTTTTGTTCCATTACGCTGCTTCCGCCAATGCTGCTCATGAAATATTTACCATATGGTATTCCGTGGAACTTTTGCATAATTGATTCGCTGGATTTGCCTTGTTCAATTATGTGCTTTGAATCACAAGCGTTTCTCATAGGTGTCTGTAAGTCAGTATTTCTTTGAAATAGTTTTTTTTTGTGTTAGATGCTAACTAAACAAAATCAGTCTTCGTTGAAATTTTCGTTCTATACAGCTTATGTGTAGCTTTTTTTTACCTTTCCCAGCATAGTGGCCTTTTGATGGGCGTTATTTTTTTCATTTTCTTTGATTTTTATTAGAGTGCTTTGGATTTATTTACTGAATGTAGCTAAAAGCTTTTGGCTTAAAATTCGTTATTCTTTCGATTTTAGTTTACATTAAAAATTGATTTTATGAAATTATGTGTGTATGGTTTTTTGATGCATTCATCTCGTTGTTTTATTTTCTTCTCGTCCACACTGTTATTGTTGAATATTACATTTTTTTGCAAACATTTATAAATACATACTACATTAGCACTCTTTTGTTTTTTTTTTTAAGCTGCTCGTTGCTCCGAACTTTGTTGAACCATATTGATTTTACTCTTACTTGTGAATTTTTACTTTGTTATTAAACATTTCCTGATTCCGCGTTTTTACTACTGCCGTTAAAAGTTTTGTAGTTTAGTATTACCATTTTCATCGCTGCCTGCCTTCACTTGATCTGATTTGCGCTTTTAATTTTTATTAGTCGTTGTGTTTTACCTGTACCTTTTCGTCAGATATGCTGTTGGAATGAATACTTCAATTATGTATCGTCAATATCAATGCAAAAGGTCCTAAATAATAATTTATTGATTTTTTTTTTTAATATTTCCGTTCATGACCCAGAACGAAATTTTAGAAAACCGAGATTCGTTGGCAGCACTGAAAGTATTGCCTATTGTAATTTAAGCATTTTTTTTTTTGCTTTTTTATTATTTAGAGTACAAAGCTTTCATTTTGAAATAGTTAGAACTGTATTTCTTTTGAACGGATTGAATATGAGAAAATCTTTCTATATATTTACGGTAAATCTTCAGAGTATTTTTTTTTTTACGCAAAAACAAGACATCAAAACACATCACAAGGTCGATAAGATATTCGCATTTCTGCTTAAAATCGAAAAAAATAGTACAAAATTTCAGCATCTGCCTAGCATCTACCGCTATTAGGTAGAAAAACATTCTTGCATTTTCAACGTCAGCATTCTATCAAACTGCCCATAAAATCAGTCACAAGCATTCTTTGCAATCACTTTTGCAACTTTATTGTATTGCTGTTATAAACAACTTATAGATTTTGTTGTTTTATGTTCGCGTATTGTTGTATATTTTGGTTTTGTTTTGGTTGATGTTTACTCGTACTTTGATAGCTTTTGTTTGCTTTGCAGTGCTTCCGCTGGCTACCACCGCCGCACAGTGGTTCAAAACTTGCATTTAGTGTTCACAAGTTCACAATTCACTGAGGCCTGCATTTCTCACTCCATTACCTTTTTTTTCTAATGAAAGCTTATAGAAACCCGATTTTTGAATTTTTGTTCGTTTGTTTTAAATTTTCGTGCTAAATGCAGAAAAAGTAGCAATTTTGAAGAAAATCGATTCTCCTGTTCAATTTAATAAATGTTATATAATAAAAACTAGGTGAAAACAATTACACGGTTCCCCAAGACAAAAAAAAAATCATAAGAAAATTTTGAAATGTTATAACCAATATTTTTCAAAAACAAAAAAAAATTATTTTGGTGAAATTTTGTTTATAACATTTAAATATTTATTTTTTCATTTTTGGAGAGCTCTACAATTATTTTCAACTAGTTTTTATTATGTAAAATTAATTAACTGGAACAGGGGAATAAATTTTCTTTAAAATTGCTATTTTTTCTTCACTTTGCACTAAAAAATTTAATGCAAGGGAATGGAAATTCCAAAATCGTGCTCAACTGGTCTCCTGCAAAATTTATAGGGTTTCATTAAAATAAAAATTTATCAAATTGAGTGAGAAATTAAGGCTCCAGTGAATTAAGAACAGTAAATGCTAGTTTGAACCATTGTGCGCCGTCAGCGCCGCCAGCGTTTTTCAACAAAGTTTAATTTTTTCGCAGTGTTTGCATTGCCGTGCTGATATTTGCGCTTTTTTGATATCTCACAATTTCAGTATTCGATTTTGTTCGTTTTTAGTTGCGCGAAATACATATGTATGTATGTAAATATCTACGCGTGCAACTTTGTGTTTTTTTTTTGTTTTGGTTGCGCTTGAACTTACACAGTGAGTCAGAGTGCAAAATTTGTGCGTGATTGTGAGTGTGCAATATTTCCGTTTATTTTTTTTTTTTAATTTAGCCTTTTAATCAAAGCATTACTTATTTATTTAATGCAACTTCAAAAAAAAAAATACAACTTGGCAAAATTTAAAAATTCTGAGGACATTCATAACAGGCGTCTAATATCGAAAAATGGCCGTACAGAAAGTTAAAAAATTAGTGAAAAAATTTGCTCGAGCGCGTCAAATGTTCACAGTTTTTTCGAAATTTCCGATTTGAAGAAATAAATAAAAATCACTAAATAAGTTTGCCTTACGAATGAGAAAAATTCAAACTTTAATATGGAAAATGTTACTCATACGCCATGTACGAGAATGTATGATATGGCGTATGAGTAACATTATTTTCTGGCCCTATTGCATACAAAAAATTATTGGACATTTTCATTTGACCATTTAAAACATGTTTAATAAAGGTTGACTTTTTTTTATAAAAATTAAAATATCCTGTGAAAATAGCCTGATCAGTAAAACGGTATACAGATGCATAATCTACGACCCCATACATTGATATTAGCAGAATTGGATCATAAATTTGGATTTTTTAAACACCTCGATGCCAACGTCATTTAACGGATTGGCAAGTAGCCTATGCTGACCACTAATCAAAAGCACCAGCATAAACACAAAATCTACTTAGCTAATTTTTGACAGTGTTTTTTCAGACGCTGACAATTCCAATTTTTAAATCGAAACTCTTCCGAAGTTTTATGAATGATTACCATTGATCACAGCCGCGTAACCACAAGTTTTTGAATTTTTGTTTTTGCATTTTGGAACGATTTTCCGTCATCTCTTTTCAAATTCGGTTGTTGTTTTTATTGCACCCTCTACTCAAGCGGCCACCCACCTATGTTACTTTCTAAAAACAATACCTAAACACTTTTAACTGCAATTCTTAATTAAACCGTACCCATGTAGCTCTATGTAGCCAGCTTTTAAAAGCATATTAAGTTTAAGTATTGTACTCAAATCTGCCTCAATAAGACTAAGAGTGTTAAAAGTGGCAATAAAAGTATTCAAATACAACGAAGTTGAAAGAACCCATTTACGTTAATTGTTACAGAAGTCAATGTGCTGTGCTCATACCGCATTGGGTGGTTTTATGGTCGTCACATAAAAGTCTCATTAAAAAGCGATACGATTTAATGGCATTTAAATTCGAACTTAATATTTTGAAAAATATTGAGGTAAACTCTGTCGTGCAAAGTGGGTGGAATAAGTCGTGGGGAAAGTTGATAGGAAAAAACCTGGTTAACCTAAATAAGGAAAAATAAATGTTGTAAATGCAAAATTTCACAACTTTTACTCGCCCCCTCTCTGAAGCAACGGAGCAATTCCAAAGAAACCATAGAATCGACGCGATATCGATTAGTCAGTTTATTTGGATTTGGGTGTGAACCGTTCAATAATAAATAAGTGTTATTTTTTAACTCTAATCACTTTTATAAGTATTTGCGGAAGACCTAACGCCAGTTTTGTTTTGCAATTGTTATATGAAAAAAAACGCAAAAGACCGGCGGCAAAAACAAAGTAATATCACAATTCTTACCAGAAATGCACACCAGACTGCTTTTTAAAAATTAAAATCAAAATGGTTAGAAATTGTGATGAAAATCTGTTGAGTTTTTGTAAATTTTGTATAAAGTTTGAGAGTGGTCAAATGAAAATGCCCAAGGATTTTTTGTATGAAATATGAGAAGAAAAGAGTGTTAGTACATGGCGTATGATAAACATTCTTTCCTGGTAATTTTTCATAAAAAAAATCTTTGCGCATTTTTATTTGACCCCGCATTCCTTCTTTATTTATCCATCGATTTTCTTCATTAGTAGTAGTAGTAGTTATTTTTTTAATTTTTTCCCTGATTTTTTTTTTTAATTTTTGCATCAAAAAACGAAAAATCTGGAATGATTAATTCATTTCTCAGAAACTATCAGGCCTATCAAAAAGTGATGTATTTAAGGTTTATGGGTTCAGTACAGCGAGTGCGAGTTTTATTATAAAAATTCGATGTGCAGTAAAAGGTAGCAGTTTAAATGTTCAATGTTAGTCATTTTGTGTTACAAAAATCAAATGTTATTTTAATAAAAACCCACCTAATACCCGATACCTGTACTCATTACATTTTAGTGGAGAAGTGCGACTTTTTGTGGGAAATTATACTTCCTGCCTTAAAAAACAGTCGTTCACACATACCCGAGGACAAAAAAAAACTTCGTCCACGCTAATCAAGAGCTAAAAATGCCTTTTCATATAGTATTTTGAAATGGCGTTACTTGATAGTGCTGAGACAGGAGACAATAAGTAATGAGAAAGCTCATCGTTTGCATGTGTTTGATTCTAGATATACTTCCGCAAATCATCCTCTAATTCGATTTTTCGACTTTTGCTGTCCACTTTCCAGCGCGCTTTTGGTTTTAACCCTAGCAAAATCGAGTGGTTCACATCTTGAATAGTTTTTTTATTCAAAACTACAACACAGATCTATTTTCAGTTGATTTTTCCAAATTTATCAAACAAGTAAATACTTGCACTTTGCTCTCGATACCCATGAAGTACTTGTACACGGGTATCGAAGTACAAAAAATACTCGATACTTGCTAGAGGTACTGGAGTATATACTTCTAAGTACTGATATCGGAACATCACTATATTAGATATGAACAAATGCGCGAGCTCAAAAGTTGACCGCGATAAAAACGCATAAAAAGCTTCAACGGAGAAGGACGCCTAAACCTAGTTGATGGCGAAGAAAGACACGTAAACTTATTTTCGCCGCCAATTGTGTTTCCAGG